TAACTGACAAACAATCGACGTGATGGATGATGAAGAAGATATTGAAGCAAATAAATTTTCTTCATTATGTACTGGTAAATGAGATGATCGGTTGTTCACTGCAAGTTTCTATCAAAAACAAAATCACACAAGAATTCAAAATTGAGATTCCTTAATTGATTAACATTAATTAGTATATTAGTTAATTTTTGAGTTTTCTCATTACTCTTGCGTAATAAATGTAGTTCTTCAGCAATTTTTGTTTGTTGCTCAACACAAGATTCTATTATATTTGTGTTTAACAGATGCTGATGAAACAGGAGTTTGATCTAAAACAATTGGAAATCTCTCTATTTAAAAGTCACAGTAATAATGATGTAACGCACGCCTATCATACGATGACATTGCAAAAGATGGATTTCGATTATAATTTTGTGATACAAAACCATCATCATCCGATGAGAATGGTTGAACATTTGAACAAAAGTAATATTGAATTTCACGTTGACTATTGCTGTTGTTGTGAAGAATACGATTGACAGGTGCTCGGTTTTGATACATAGTACCAATCTATATGCAATCTAGATGAAATGTAAATATAAAAGAAAAAGTACAACTTGAATGCGGGACGATCATGGAAAATACGATTGCGCATTATAAGAGAAGAAAAGCTTGAATAAGATGACTGAATAGATAGAAAAAAAACGATAATCATGCTTGCCCGAAAACAAAATTACTGTGAATATTTTTTATAACAACGCAAGAATGAAAAAGGCTAGAAAGCAGTAGCTTCACCCCTTATGTAAACATTAGAGTACATCATGAAGTCACTAGTAAAAAAAAATAGCAAACAGTGTCTGAAAAAAATAGTAAATCGCGCGGGACACAATTACTCACACAATAGTAAATATTGCAGCTTTCTAATACTTTTCGTTATTGAGTTTTTGTAACAATATTCAAGGCCATTTCGTTTTCGGACACACCTAAGGTAGTCAATTAATCATGTTCGAATTCATGATCAACAGTCGTAGAAAGAAAAAGTTCATCGTCAAAGGAAAAAGATGCATTTAACTCAAGCTCAATGTGCTACTTAATATACTAATAATTTGTATAAAATGAAACCAAATATATATCTGGAGAGTCTGGGTGTGGGTTTGTATATTGGTAAAGCCAGCGCCGACACCCTTGTTCGTACTCTAGAATTTTCTCTTTTGCCTGAGGATATTACTTATAAAGTGACGAAAGCTTGCAAATACAAATTAAAAGAATGAGTTTTCTTTTCCTTATCACTCTAATATTCAAGTTCATTAAAAACACTTGAAACAAATTGAAATTTATTAACCACATTCGTCAAGAGTATGGTGAATGTGTTCTGAGAAGATTTTGACAAGTCGAACAGTTGACGAAGAAAATAGTTAAAGTCCAATGCGACGTGAAGTTTTTAAGGTGTTGTTTAATTGATAGAATAATTTCAAAATTTGTTAAATTTCAGAATTACAAAAAAGATCATGTAAATTCAGATAAGGATGACAATATAAAATTAATATATAGATAAACAAAAACACATCAAGAAATTAGAACGAGAATTGCGAGAAATAGTGGAAGAAGGATTTTACAACATATTCTGGATAAAAGATAAATATCGCATTACAGCTCATTTACATGAGTTGAGACGTATTGATATGAACGGAATAAGAGAAACTCAAGAAAAAAAGTTATCCAAATTAATGAATGCCATATGTGATCATGCACAATCTTCTCTATTACAATTCAAAAAAAAATAGGCTATAATTTGTCATCGAAAGAACTTACAGAGGGAGAAAAGAAATTATTAGGTAGAGGTTGGAAATTTTTTTTAGACCAAAATATTAAAAATCAATTAAATTTAAAAACAGAAATAGAATATGGGATGCAATCAGTTAAATCAGCTACTCGAGAAAATGAAAAAAAATATTCCGTAGACAGAATTATGTAATTGGGTACAAGGTATGACATCGAGTTTAATAAAAAGAGTAATAACAAAAAAAAGTTTCACGTCTTAGCCAACAAGAAGAAATAGCATTTAGAAAATTAAAGAATGATAATTCAATTGTGTTGCTTAAAGCAGACGAAGAAAATTTAGTAGTGCTTATGAATCGAAAAGATTATAGGCTGTGGGTGTAGTGCAAAGAAGAAACTCACCTACAACCACACCCACACTCTCAATGGTTCATATTATTATGTACAAAATCTGCAATCTTTTTCAAATAGTTTACATTTTATTCCAGTATCAGCATAAGGTAATTCTGATGATTGAACTTCGAGTGAACAAACAAATAGTATTTTTTGGCCGGGTAATTCAACAAAAGTTCCAATTGATCATGCAATTCTTCAAAGTAAAACATTGCATATTATTGTTTTTGAATCAATGCCATTTACAATGGTCACAAATTTTATTCATGAATCTGGACACAATGAACCAAAACGAATTGTTTTTATGCCTGGTCTTATTGAATTTTCAGAGAAAAGAATAGGATTTAATGCTCATATCGATATAGCACCATCAAATCAAACTTATTCGGGATTAATTCAAGCTGTAGCTAACGGTGAGTATGTTATTGTTTTTGATGATGTAAGAGTTACCGCTACCCGAAAAGAATCAGTCGCTTTTTCTATTGCAATATTTGAGAATTTACGCATTATAACTCGAAGAATACATGATATTAATATTAATTTATTATTACTTTTAAAAGCATTGCCATGTCAACTCTAGCTATTAGTCTTTGGCGTGTGTATTTATGCTGCTTTTTTACTTTTTCTCATTTAAAGGCAAGGTAATGAAACATTAGAAAATCGATCTATATTATCTCAGTTGACATTGAGTGTTTGGTATTCTTTTGGTAACATGGTTGGATACGATGTTGATTTTGATGTTAATACAGCTGCTGGACGCTTATTAACTGCTAATTTAGCATTTGATCTAATAATAGCAAAATCAAAATATATTATTTCGGCTATCGATGATGTCAAAAGTGGAAAAATTCCATTTAATCGTAGTGATATTCCTATTAATACATCCGTTGAAGATTATTATTTAATATCAATATCTAGAGGAATTCGAAGGTTCTATTTATGAAAGTCTGTCCAAGAATTGTATGACAGTTTATTAGCCGGCCTTATCGATGTTTCGTTCATAGACACTGACACAGATGAATATGTTATGAATATTATATATTATAATTTAACAGTGGACGGGCTATTTTTTTTTTTTATTTATTTACTATTTGATCATTCTTATTATTTCTATGGTCGAAACGATCGACTGTTAAAAGATATTTCTTTAAATTACTATTTCGAAAGAAGTTTTTTGATAAATAAAATCACCTAGCAAGAAGAAATTCAACTAAAACTCCTGAATATTCACAAAATCATGCGTTAGCAATATTTGGTTTGTTACATTTTTAGATGGGAACTGTTTCTATTTTGAAAATAAACTTTGAATGCAGTATTAATCAGGATGAATTTCAAATAGTGATATGCTGACACCGTGCATAATAATATTTGTTTTTGAGAATACGGGTGTTTGTGTGGTTAATTACATGTGCTATCTACACATCTATCCACATCCTCGATTTATATCAAACCGATCTGATATTTTCTACGATTGTACTCGAGCATGGTTGGGAAGGTGCGAGTGCGAGTGTGTATGTATAGAGCACATGGGTATGGGTGTCTCTCAATGGTACACCTATACCCAGGATATTAGTTTTTTCATTCTCTTTAGATTGATAGGAATCCTGCAAACACTTTACGTTATTGTGATCAGTCTGAGGATGGCTACCTTTCGGTCGTTTTTTTCTAAGATTGATGAGTTAAAGGTTTTTGTCGTTGGTTGTTAGGGAGAATCGTATGATATTATGTAGATGGATTTCGGTGGCACTCTCATTTAGACATCAAAGCTGATATGCAAAAGGCAAAACCAAAAGCCAGTTCACCATGTGAAAATGATGAAAGTAAGCCATTTGTTTTTCTGTTCGACGGCTGTTCAACGCTTAAATTATAAGAGCATGTCAGTTGCATTTCACAGTTATCTGTCCCCTAGCTTGGAGTTGCCATAATTATAGCTTCTAGGAGTGTAATGCTCTTTTCCTTAATGTGTTTTTAACATTTTCAGACGTCCCATACTCCTCTGCAACCCATCAATATTGCTAACCGTCAAGTATGTGCAATTCCATAATGCATGTTTTTTTTCTGCATGAAAATACTAAGACAAAAGCCACATATTATGTCATTGGTATAGGAGAGGGTTTGCTGCAAAGATGACAGGGGACGGTAGGGGTTTCTATAATATGATGCCGTCCTCATTAGAAAATGTTGATATTTTTATACATATTGATATAAATGAAATGTTACTTTAGAGATATTTTCCTCTGTCATGGTCTCATACGTTATTGAGTGTTTAATTCCTTGATATACTGAATAAAGCAATCAAACTATTAATACTTGTTGATACTGATCAGTATGCAACAATTATACATGATTAGTTTTGAAGAACAAAGAAAAGTATATGGTTCACGATTAGAGGTCTAAGCGAATGCCCAAATAGCTGCCGGCTGAATTTAATATTCTTCTACTTTCTGTTGCGGCTACACAAGTCTCACGCCTCAGAGACGGCGGCTCAATATATTTAATATACTTGCCGTTCGACGGTAGCTGAAAGTTTTCGAGCTCTTTTTAAAAACTTTCTTTGCTTCGAGAAATTTCGACACCAGCAAGCAAAAATATCCCTGAAAAATGATACGTAGAGTAGAAAATTTTTATAACTCTGGTGTATTGTTTTGTGCAGGGAGGGCGGCGACTCGAATCATTGGAAAAGAATCTCGTTAACAAAGACAGAGCAGTTGTGTTACTTAAGCATTAACGGTGACGGTAGCTTAGTCGATCGACTTACGTCTCCGTTCATGGTTACCGATTGGAATCAATGATCAAAATTCCATTAGTTCAAGTTCTAACCAGTTTTAGAAATTTTCTAAAGCAGATGTGAAGTATGTTGAAGATATACTGTAAGCAAGAGAAACGGATGACAAAATAGGCTGTATTCATTTGTGTGGAATAAGGACTATCAAACATCAAGAAACAATTTGTTTGTAGGTATAACAATGATGCTTAAAAGTTTTTTTCTCGAGCACTGAATTACATGGTTCGCCTTAGAATTTCTGTAGTTTCACTTGTTCAAAGTTGGTAAAGCAGGAATGGGGGAAAAACCTCTAAGAATCTCCTTGGTTCCTCATCAAATTCAAGAATTATTTTAGAAACCAAACTTTGATAGTTATTCTGAGTAAGATATCGCTTGCGAAAATGTATCGACAACTATATTGTTTATTCACTAAGTTGAGATTCTCATTCATGAATATTATCTTTCAATACGGAATTGGTTAACATGCACGAATAGAAAATGACAGAAATGCCAAATGACTAGAACCTAACTGATTGATAGTATGAGCTGTATTTCTCGTCCTTTCTGAAACGCATTACTGCCCACTTACAACAGGAATTTGAAGAATAACTTCATACTATATGAAGTCAATTGAAAGCAAGAATATTACAGTGGGTGATTGATCGAAAAAATCCAAATTTATCTGAATTATAATTAACAGATTATGACATCTCTCTTTCTCCTCTTGGACAAATCTAACAGTCAACATACGCCTCAGAAAATGTTTTATGTGTGGCCATTCATCTTGTGTAAAAGTTGATTACTCTGCATTTCGTACAATATCTAATACTACTTTCATAGACTTACTTTACGAAAGAAACTCGTTCTTCGATCGGTAAACTATTCCAAAACCCTATTACGTTTCTCGAGCTCCCTATAAAAGTTTACTGTATCTTTTCAAATGATGCCACAAAGTTCGCTGAAATCCTTTCTCGTTAAAATGATCAAAGATAATAATTTGTTGCCCGCTCCTCTTTCTCTCACCAAAACTGCTTATATAACAGATATGCAACCGGTACCAGTCCAGATTTCAAACCAGCCGATCTACTAGTCATGATCAATAGACCGGTGGTTCGATTCGATCTGATCGTTACCAGATATCAAAAGTTCAGATTCGTTTTATTCCTGTTATGTAGTATCAATTTGAATGGTCTCTAACATACTTTTTTTACTACTCCATTAAATTTATCTTTATCGTTTATTTTGTTTGAAATATTGCTGCATAAACCAACAACAACAATATTCCACCAGCTCCACCATTTCAAGATTTTCTGATCCTTCTAAAAAAAACAACAACAAAGTATGCTCTATTATTTATTGTACTATTGAATTTAATGTAATATATTTTTACTCCTCTAGATAAAGGTGCTTGCGTTCGTCGTGTTGGTCGTATTCGAAGTGGTAGTTTCAGTGCTATACCCAAGTCAAACAAAACCCGGTCACAAACGACCGTAAACTGTAAAAAATGATAGCATACCTCATCGTTTTTGGCCGTTGCGGCGGTTGTAATGATCATCCTGGGTAGTTCTGATGGTTGTGCTCGTAGTGATTCTGGTCGAGTTAGCGGTGGTAGTGAGGCTAATCGTATTGAAATTCGTCGTGATACTTGTTAATTTGCCTTGTTAGTTTTTTTTCTTATTAATATTAAATGAATAAATAAATAAACAGAAGAATTTCATTTAAAATAACTTCTTTTGCAGAATTGTCATTGTTTTAACATGTAGATAAATTCTAAAGGTTTAAGCAATTTGAATAAACGCCATGAGGATTTTTCTTAAAGTTTTCGATTTCATAGCGTGTTTATTTTATTTGACGTTGATCAGTTGCTTTAAACCGTATAAACATTTGATAACATTGTGGATGATTATTAAATTAAATTAAACAAACGGATGTGTCTTATAGTTATAGCCTTACATAATATTCTCTCTCTCTCTTTTTCTCTTCCATTATCTCTACTTAATTATTAAAAACTATCGCTTTTCTTTTCCTTTCATTTACATTATGTATTATGTCCTAAGAAGAAACGTGAATGAAACAATGTTTCACGGAGTTCTTCTAGTAAGGATTGCTGATAATTTTATTTATTTATTTATGTTTACTTGTTATACGATGTGATAATTCTGTTTCGTTCGAGAACACACCAATTATCATTCATTATTTCTTTGTCCACCTTTTATTATGTGTACATTGTTCCTTGTCTTTTAAGCACCCCTCTTTTCTTTTCACTTCTATCCATTTATTTATCCTATGTACTGACAGGACCCCAAGCGGTCATCGGAAAGGCAAATAAAAAAAAACATCGTGCATGATTTGATTGCTCAATTGTTGTTGGAGTTACGTCGAATAAGTAAAATACACCAAAAGGTACACGTTGATAAACATCAAGTACAACAAGTCCAGATTCATCCTTTAAAACAATATTAATTAATAAAACAAAACAAAAGAAAATAATTCTACTTGAAATTCAAGTTTATATATATTTTGATATTTTGCTCATAATTTTATATTATGATTTCGTTCATGACTTGATGCTATTATATATGTACGGTGTATACCAATAACATGATTACATTCAAAAAGAAAATGTAACTAAATAGTTTAAAGAAAAGAATAATATTTTACCTATTAGAATATTAAATGAAATTTTTAATTCACTAGTATAAGTTATTAACAGTGCAAGTGAACCAGGCGCAAAAATTAAACTCTACATAATCAAAAAATTTAGATTTATTTATTTTAATTTCATAAAACTTACGATCGTACTAATGTTAAATCTTTAACAAATGCAATACTTGGTGACAAACAGTAAAACAATAATTGTTGTAAATGAAGAGGATAAGTTGTTTTAACTAAACTACACTGTAAAAAATAGGCGTAGAATAATATACCCTTCAAAAGGGTTTATTAGACTTATAAACGCTTTCATATACCCTTTTAGTGTCATAAACCCTTTCAGATACCCTTTTTCTTCATAAACCCTAGGAAGGGTATATTATTCGTTGCACTTTTATAAACCCTTTAGGGGATATGAGCTGTCATATACCCGTAAAGGGTGTATTGGATT